GATAGAACGATTGGTCTTTTGATGCAATCCATTCGTCGATCCATTTTCGCACATCCTCGTAATTTCTGAAGTGTGTATCCACCAAGCCGTGCTGCATCGACCGGAACAAGTAATAGTCCGAAGGAGCTAAGTCTGGTGAATACGCTGGGTGCGGGAGAACTTCCCACTCGAGCTGCATCAGTGTTTCTTTGACGGCTTTGGCAACGTGTGGTCGAGCGTTGTCGTGCAAAAGCATGACTTTACGTCGATTGCTGGCTACTGCTGGCCTTTTTTCCAACAATGCTTCATTCAGACGGTTTAATTGTGATTGATATCGATCCCCCGTGATACTTTCGTTCGGTCTGAGTAGCTCATAATAAACGACGCCGTGCATATCCCACCAAATGCAAAGCATTGCTTTGTGGCCATGAATATTTCTCTTTGGTGTGGATGTCGATGGTTGGCCAGGGTCTACCCATGATTTTCTTCGTTTAGGATTATCGAAGTATATCCATTTTTCATCGCCAGTCACTATGCGCCACAAAAAACTCTTCTTTTTCTGCCTGGCGAGCAGAGAAATAGAGATGTTTAAGCGATTCGCAATGGCATTTGCGGTTAATTCGTGTGGTACCCATTTTCCCTCCTTTTGAATTTTTCCCATTGCATGTAGACGTTTGGAAACAGCCATCGGAGTAACATTTAATGCTGCAGACAATTCTTGGAGCGTTTGAGTAGAGTTTTCGTCCAATAATGCCTGCAAATCGGTGTCTTCAAACTTTTTCGGTTGGCCTGAGCGTTCTTTATCATTGACATCAAAATCACCACTCTTAAATCGCTGAAACCATACTTGGCATGTTCTTTCCGATGGAGCATAATTGCCATAAGCTTCGAAAAGCAATTTATGAGCTGCAGCTGCAGTTTTTTTCAAGTCAAAGTAATGAAGCAGCACATGTCTAAAAAACAACTTATCACGTTCCATATTTAATCAAAAGAAAAAATAGCACTGCTTGCTTACATGAATCTCTTCGCACTGAATTTTATTGACAAATATCTAACCTCTAAAATGCAGTCAGTTTCAGATGTCAAAATAAATTACACCTACAACTAACGTAATCTAACTGTGAGCCGCAGGAACTAAGTTTACCACCTAATATAATATAATATAATATAACATATTTATCGATAAATGTTTCAAAGGACGTAACAACAATCACAATGCGATTAATACTGATATAATATTGTATAAGTAATCAAACTTTAACATACAACGTGCTCGCAAAACAGAGAGAATATTTCTTCTTTCTCCCTCGCAATATTTTGATGTCAAAATATCGGTGTTATGAAGAATCTATTTTATGCGAATGTTGCAATAAAAATAAAAGTGTTTTCATATTATTTAATATATATTTTAATTACAATCATTTTTTGTATTGTTAGGAATAGCCCAAGTAAAACATAATAGTCAAAATGATATTAGTTTAATATTTTTTGGCTGATAATTGATATAAATTTTTTCAATGTTTGGTCAAAATGATGTCAAATTGATATCATTTTGATTCTTATGTTCTATTTGGAAAGCTATAATGCAATAGAGGTCGTACTGAAATTCAATAAAAAATTAAACGTGAAAATCTATTGCACATCCATAGTACAGTATACAGTATACATATGTACAGTGGACGCCCACGATGGGCTGCGTTCAGATTCCTTACCCGGGTGCACTCTAATACAAAAAGTGCTATAGTATATGTGACATATACTATAGTGTTTCTAGTAACAGAGTGCATCTAGGTAGGGAATCTGAACGCACCCATGGATGTTATATGGATCTCTATCCGTCGAGTAGAGTTTTGAAACGCAGTCATGAAGAATACACGTGAACACAATCCAACAAACATAATAATGCACCTTGTCCCTACTTTTTCGAAAACAGTTGCTTCAACGGTTCTCAGCAACTTCATAGACAGGTGGCTATCTGGGATTTTTAAAACGATAAAAATAATGTTCTCTTTTTTTTAATTAAAAAGATTTTTTTTAATATTTTTTGACGTTTGGAAAAATATTTTGGTTTTTAATATTTAATATATGTTTATCTTAACAATTAGAAAATATGTTTTAAATGTTAAATTTTAACATTTACGAAAAACGTTTTTTAAATGTAAAAGTAAATGTTTATTAAATATTAAAAAACAAAAATCTTCCAAACGTTAAAAAACGTTATTTTAATAAGAAAAAAAGAGTACTTATCCCATTATTTTTAAAAATATCTTCAAATTTTTTAAAAATGTTTTTTTAAATATTGTTTTTTTCATTAGGTAATAAAAATAACTAGTAAATAAGTAAAAAATATTATATTATATTTACAATATTTTTTAAATATTGCTGTAATATTGCTAAAGTAATATTTCAAATTAAAGTCATTACAATGTCTCTGCAACATTGCACTCCAATATACAATATTGCAATGTTATAGCAACATTGCTGCAAGCTTCTGTGCTGTATGGGATAGTAACATTGAAAATGATTGAATGAAAATCAAGAAATATGTATTATTTCGATATGTTTTTAAAAAACATTTTTTTAGTTACTCATTAATACGTTATTTCATCAATTATGTAAAACAAGTATGTTATTATCTTCCCAGATAGCACAGAAAATTCAAAAAGAATTTAGTCATATATCACCAATTCTGAATTCATTTTTCGATGAAAAAAGAATTCTTTTCACTGAACTGAACTTTGAAGAATTCTTTTTGCATCTAAAAATAAACTCAGAATTGTAACGTACGACTGAATTATTTTTTAATTCTTCTTGAATTCTCTGTGCTACCTTAACATTTACGCATAGCATGTACGACTCATATGAACTAAATTTGATTAACAAAAAATTTTTTATCAATGATTTTCATATAGGTTGATTATTATCCGACATTACGTTTGCCCAATATATAGAGGTGACTGTTCCTCGTGCGAATAAAACGCTTGGATTTATTTAGATTTATTTATTTTAGTTATTTACTATTCGGAGTTAACATCAAAACTTGTCAGTTAGTCGAAACATTTGGGGGTCTAATCTGTAAGATTAAATGTTAAGACTTAAAATTGGAAGTAAGTATTAAAGCTTGAGGGTTGATACCGAATCGTTTGAGGTTTACCCTGAAAGTTTCAGATTCAATACTACCCATTGAAAGTCAACACCGAAATTTGAGGGTTGACACCGTATTATTTGGGGTCTACCCTGAAAGTTTTACGATTCAACACTACTCATTGAGAATCAACACCAAAATTTGGAAGTTGACATCAAATCATTTGGGGTCTATCCTGAAAATTTGAGGGTCTACCCCCAAATTTTGAGGATTAACATCCAACTTTTGTAGTCAACCTTCAAATTTGGTGTCAACCCACAAATTTGAGGGTTAACCTTCAAAATGTTTTTCGTAAGGATAAACAAATATATGAAACATTTGAAACGTATATGAAACATTTGAAATGTATATGAAACTTCTTATTTCAGGGATAGTACGTATCTCGAACATTCTCGTAATTTTTTTCGTAAGGATAAACAAATATATGAAACATTTGAAACGTATATGAAACATTTGAAATGTACATGAAACTTCTTATTTCAGGGATAGTACGTATCTCGAACATTCAGAGAATATATATAATCTACTTTTATGATATTCTCCGAACATTCTCAGAATCTATCTATGCTATTAGGGGACACTTTAAGGTAGTTGAAATATTTTTCTGAATCTGTCAATCGCATCTCTATAAATAAATTGTCGCTGGCACCTTGCAGAAATCTCTCAGTAAAAATAAACCATTTTCACATTTTACGGTTGTTTTCGCCTTTTTACAATTTCTTGTAACGTAAATACAAATAGAACATTGAGATAACTTTTTTCATTATTTTTGCATATCACACCGGTCTATCCCTTGCTCATATGAAATATTTTATAATAACTATCAATATGATGTTTAGATCCATGATATTATACTATCACTTTTAAGGCTCCTGGGGAGTCGCATCATCCATCTCTTTTTAATGACGTCAGAAGCGAGAAAACGCATGCTAAAAATTCCTGCAAAATACGTCGAGATAAACAGATATATCCACAAAACGACATTTGCGATCGATTAAGTACACCTCTAAAATACTCCGTACACTTTCCTTTTGTTCTAACAATCAACAGATAATTATAAAATAAATGTGACGTGCAATCGTCTTTTCTAACCTAATTTCCTCATTATCTTGTCATATTAATTTTCCGATTATCTATTGATTTTTAGAACAAAAGGAAAGTGTACGGAGTATTTTAGAGGTGTACTTAATCGATCGCAAATGTCGTTTTGTGGATATATCTGTTTATCTCGACGTATTTTGCAGGAATTTTTAGCATGCGTTTTCTCGCTTCTAACGTCATTAAAAAGAGATGGATGATGCGACTCCCCAGGAGCCTTAAAATAGTAAAATAATCGAAATACGTATAAATTTTCTTAATAATAATTCATTTGTTGTGCAGTTTTTAATCATGTCGCTACCGTTAACGTGGAGTTTCAGCTAATTGACAAGAGTCTTAAACACACGTTTTTATATAACTATAATAAAGTTACATAATTTTATGCAAACGAAAAAAAATGAAAACTGTATAGTGGAGATACTAATATAAGTAGGTAACTCTGCCAAAAAAAATCTATGTGAAATCTATGATGAAATAGATATAGATAAGTAAATTGAAATAGCATATATAGTATCTCAATAACATATCCTTAAATAATTTTAGATATATTGCGGCTGTTCCAAAACTTACAGATATTCTATAAATATACTTCTAGGACTTTGAAATAAAATATCCTGATATTTTAAACATAGTTTAGATATAGATATTTTAAATATAGTCTAGTATATTCATTTGCTATTCCTTAAAAGGTCTTGAAGAAATATGAGGAACAGGATATTCTCAGAATATCCTGTATGTCTAAACAGGATGTTTTTAGGACATTCAAAAGACATTCAGATGCTATTTGAATTAAAATTAATGTCTTATATATTATTATCTCTTAGTAATAATTAATGTCTTATATGTTATTATCTCTTAGTAATAATTAATGTCTTATATATTATTATCTCTTAATAAGAATTAATAGTTCTTACTTGATTATTCTGATTTCCAAGAACTGCATGAAGTTATTGATAATTCACAAATATATTCATATATTTGAATTCTATCACTCTGACAATTCTTAAAAAGAACACATTTCGTTTCTTATAGAAAGATTTCCAAGCATTTATTCTAACATCATATTGACTTCGTAAGGTGTTATTTACACAAAATTTTATATAGTTGTGTTATTAATTTTATGAATATTATTGATCTACACCGATTATTAATTGTATACTGTATATGAACATTTGCGTTTCTTCCATTCTATAATTTTTTCTTACTCTTTACTTTGCTTTTTACGTCTACATTCCAGTAGTAAAAAAGTTGTACAACTATTATGCCGTTTGCTAGTGTAGAGCACACATACATCGTTATCATAGTCGCGTCATTTGTTTCTTGAATGGAAGTGAAAATTCTTGCTAGGGAACCAAAGAAGAGCATAAAAATCGTTGCTGCAGATAATTGACCTGTATTTCCATTGGAATAATTTGTCCAAGCTTGCATGAGCTATAAGTTAAATAAAAAAATTATTCGTTAATATATTCACAAAATAATTGATACAAGAAAAATATAAATTAAAATAAAAGAAAATGATAAGAAATTTAAAGAATTTGATAATTCTGTTAATTAAATTGTATACCTTGCTAATAAGAACAATAGGTATATTTATTGCTTGACACGCCAAAAGAATATAGATAGGTGTTGCCCCGCTATTAGCTGCAAAAACCACTGCTACATAAGCGAAAAGAGAGGCTATTGCTTTTGCTGTTTCTCCATTATAATGCATTACTAGGACTGCAATGGCTAAAGTTTGAAGTCCTAAAAATACCCCATCTCCCCAAGCACTGAAATTATAGTTGATATAAAACAATATTTCATAAAACTTTATAAACAAAAATTTTGCATATAAATGTTTTACTTAACAAAATTTTAAATACGTTATTATTTTATAATAAAAAGTTATTTTTGCTTACCTAAATGGAAATCCATTGATAAAACTATAAGATACCATTGTAGTAATAGCAAATAAATCTAACAACACACTAAAGATATTGATTCCTTCGCCACTTTTGTTTCGTAAAATTTTCACAATTTGTGGAATTTTTACTAAAAGGAAGATAAAAAAATATTTACATAAATTAGAATAACTTATTAAATATATTATTGTATAAATTTATAATTATATGTAACTTTAAAGGAAACACAACTTTAAAAAACAACATTAAAAAGTAAATATTTATATAATTATGTAACATTATAAATATAAATATGTGTCTCAGTACACTATATATATTTTTTTTATTTTGTTTTTTTTAACAACATAATGAAATAGATCTTTGTATATTTTACTAAAAGAACAAATATTCTAACCAAGGAGAGAACCTCCGATGATGCCCATGCCTAACACTTTGCTCAAAGTTGCCTTGAAACATCCAACTGTAACATTTTCAAGATGATATTGAAAATCATATCTTACTTGTGTGTGAATATGTTTACTTGTGCAAGTATATTTATTTAATAGAATATTGTATATTTATTTAATAGAAAATTCGTTTTATAATCTTGCCGTTCTTGTAACACGTTACTAAAAAATTTTGATAATTATGCAGAATAGGATCGACTTTACCAATTCCCATGACATTGAAATATGCTGATGAGTCGAAATTTCTGAAAATTATTGACACGAAATTAGAAGTAGTGCATTGTTGAATAAAAAGTTATTTAAAAATCTTCGAAAATTACGAAGGGCTATAACTTTAACATTTTTTCTTTTTGTTTGGTATTTTACCACTGTCTTTAACCTTCTCCGAGGATGTTTACGGCTATCCCACTATCCCCCTTTTTGCTTTTTCTATAAACATTTCAATCATTCATATAAGTTCTTCTCATATTTATATATACATCTTCGTTAAATAATTATATGTAATAAATAATATTTCTCACTCTTTTCTTTGTATTAACTTGTCTATATCACATATGATTCTTTTCCCTGATCCCTCTATCTTTCTCAACATGAATTTTCTCTCCTCTTCATATTTTCTGACTATCTGTATAGTATGTGATTTATATTTTCTTGCTCTTCTTTACAATTACATTTTTCTATCACAATTACTATATCCTTTCTTCCCAAGGATTTATTTATAATGATTCGCTCTAATTCTATTTGTTATTGTGCTAAATCCTCTTGAATCATTTCTATTTTTATACCATGTCATATATCTTAATTTTCTTCAAAAAATTTTCTAAAATATTTTTTATTCTCTCACAGACTTTCCAATCTGTTTTGTTCCTTCATCTTTACCCTGCCCTCTTTTTAATATTCCTTTTTTAGGCCTAAATATAGTACTAAATATAGTCAATTCTTTTATATATTCTTCCTCTGTTCTTGCTTTAGCCAAATCATCAGCAATTTAATTTTCTTTTATACCAGCATGTTTTGGTATTCATATTATTACTAACTTCCTCATATCATTTTTAATTATTTTGAAATATCTTTTTCTTACTTCCAGCGCATATATATTCTTATATACATTTAAATCATTATTCTGAATACCTTCAACAGCACTCTTAAAATCCGTAAATATAATTATGTCTATTTTTCCTTTTTCTTCTTCACTTTAGCAATTCCTATCACTTCCGCTATATAAACTGTACATCTTCTATTAAGACTAATACAGTTTCCCTCAATTTTCCCCACCTTCACCAATCCTATTTCTGTCGATCTCCCTATATTTCTCTTTGACACGCACGCACGCACGCACGCACGCACGCACGCACGCACGCACGCACAGGATGCCCCTCTACGATAGATGAGCTGCAGTGACGCCGTCTGCCGTTGTATACTTATACATTAAATCAAACTGAAAAAAAGTCCTTTATCATTTTGTAAATTACCATATAGATTTTTAGATATTAATTAAAGAAAATTTATGCATTACGGTATACAATCATATATGTAACAATATTCTTTAATATTTAAAAATTATATGGTCATTTGCAAAATGGTAGAGGACTTTTTTGTTCAGTTTGATTTAATATATAAGTATACAACGGCAAACGACCCCACTGCAGCCCATCTACTATATCGCGCGTGATCATTCACCAATCTTTTTTAATTAATATCTCGACTATTATTGCGAATATCACAAAACGGCACAGAACTTTCTTGCTCACCTCAATCCGTTCTACGTTCTCACCAAGGGTCATCATGAAGGTTCGGGATACTCTGTACAATTTTTAAATCTTTCTCTTTTAACTCATATTTTCTTATAATCACTATTAATTCTCTGTCCGTAATTTCATTCTCTCTTCTCCCAGGCAACACTTCTACTTTATTTGTTATATTCCAATAATCTTTCTCATATAATTCATATCCTAAATTCCTCTTTATCATTTCCTTATCCTTTTTTATTCTTCTCCATGCCTCTATAATTACCATTTTTCTTTCTCTTGGTTTTCTTATTCTCGCCTTCATTTCATTGCTTTCCAAACTTCTAATTTTATTTTTCGAACTCTTCTTTCCCCATAACTTTTCTTACATAATTTTTAGCTAAAAGCACAGTTCTTTCCCTTAAATTCATAATTTTTGCTTCTTCCAATATCACATTTTTTGGTGTTGATACTTTGTATCCTAATGCTGTTCTTAACCCTTGAAACTGAATGTTTTCCAATTTATCCCTTTACCCTCTAATTTTGAGAAATACACTATGTTTCCATAACCAAATATAAATCTAATTAACATTTTATACATTATAATTGCTGTATTAATTTCCATACCCTTTTCCATTTCAGTAAGTTTCAATTCAGTATTTCAGTAAGTTATTTGTCTTAATCATTTTATCTTTAACTTCTTGTCTCTGCTCTTCAAAACAAAGTTAATATCCATAATAATGGTTAATATCCATAAATCCCTATCCATAATATCTAAAAATTTTGCTTCTTTATTTTCTTTTATCTTTTCCAGCCCAATTTCTAATTCCATCTTTTCCTTCTTTTCTTTCTTTGTTTCATCCACATTACTATATTTAACAAACTGTGTTTTTTGTTCTAAATTTAAGCTCAATTTAAGTCTTTCATTCACCATCTTTATTGCTCTTTTTAATTTTTCTTTTTTATTCTTTTCCCCTTTCTTGTATTATACAAGGTGTTTCAGAGAACTCATCCATCTCTTTTATTTTAAAAAAGGATGCTAGAAAGTTAGGAACGCATGTTTACCATAAAAGTCTATCTGAAATTTCTGATGGTAATATTTTCACTTTTGGGAAACTCAAAATATATTAAAAATCAAAGGCAACTTAACAATTTTAAATGGCAACATAAAGTAGTATGGATATCGTTCAATAGAACTTTAAAAAAACTTTTGCTTGAAAAAAAGAATTAATATCCCTCGGAAATAAAAAGATAATTACAATAATGTTCAAAATGTTTGTCACCATGATGAAGACATTTTTCCATCCTTTGTCTCTCGCTATCGACGGCTCTCAGAACTTCTGCAGAATTTAGAGAATAGCAAGCTTCCCGAATCCGCCAAAAAAGTATTAACACTTCAAATGCTATTTTATTTAAAAAAGACATAATTTTCAGTAAAAAAATATTAGTCGATAGACTACGTGATAGACTCGTGTGCTATAAGATTTTATGGTAAACATGCGTTCCCAACTTCCTAGTATCACCCCTTTTCAAAATAAAAGAGACGGACGAGTGGTCTAAAATACCTTGTATATTACTATGTCATCCACAAATTGTAACACATGCATTCTATTTTCCTTAGTTTTCAACAGATCTTTGGTATATACAATAATGAACTAAGTACTCCTCCTTTTGTAGAAACTATTGAAAAACTACTCTTTTTTCTTCCTCTTCATCTCTTATTATAAATTTAATTTTTCTCTATTCTATGTAATCTTGTAAATACTTTACAATCCTTAGAGGACACTTTTTTTTTGACTAATTTTTCTATTAAAATATCTCTTCCCTCTTTTACATTGTCATATATTAACGAAACATCCAAGAATGCCGTGAAAACTATTTTGTTCTCGTAAAAGCTATTTTTTATATCTGTTATTATCTCTACTAAATTATTCATAACCCCTCTTCCCTTTCTAAATATATTTTGGTATTCAACTAGTATTCCTCTTTTTTCAACTCACCAATTCAATCTTCAATTCAAATTATAATCTTCTTCATTATCTTCTCCCAACAAGAAGATAATGAAATCAATCTTATTTTTTCCTTTGCCTCTTTTATTTATAAAAAGTTATTCCACTCTTTGGCTCTCATTTTTTCTTTTCCAGAACACATTAAATACTCCAAGTATTTGCTTCTTGTATTTTTCTAATAATTCCTTGATCATTTTATAATTAATTCCATCCAAACCTGATGCTGATTTTATTTTTACTTATTACTCTTTTCAATTTCTCTTTTATTATATCTTTATTCAATTCTTTTTTCTATTCAGTTCTACTCTCTTCTTCAGATTTACACTCTCCACCTGTACCTAAAATCTCTTCTTATTTTTTCTACTTCCCCTCTAATTGCTTTTCTGTCCTTATTTTTCCATATATTCCAATCCATTACACTATCTCCTCTTCTTAACATGTTCATCTTTTGCCAAACATATTTTAACCTCCTATTCTTATTAACCTGGGAGTGGAGTCATACCGGTTATTTCCCTGTACTTTTTCATTTTCCATTTATAGCATCTAATCTATTGATATTATCGTATTTTCGCTTTTACATAAATTTTCTTTGATGTTTTCTCGTATAGCATGGAGAAGTAGACGGCGTAGACGCGCTTATTTCTATGTGAAATTTGATACGTTTGTAGCAGTCGGTCTAAAAGACCATAGCGCGCCTATTAATGTTAATCTTTTATCTCTGCCGCGTCAGCGTCGCTCGATGTGCCGCTAAACGTCTATTGTCTTTTCGACATCGTAGTTGGGCGGACAGTTCTCTCTAGTGTCTCGAATATTACAATTATAAACGTGCAAACATGAGTAAGCGATCTAGAAAGAATTATTTAGAAGGATATAAAACAGAAAAAACAATTAGTGATTCGGAGGATTCTGAATATATATATGAGACATTAATAACTGCATTGTACCAATGCAGTTAAAATAAAAATATTATGATTTTATTTTTAATACATTCACATATGTATAATAAGTTTAATATGTTTCTTAAACATACTAGATTTAGAAATGGTAAAGAGAAAAAAGAGGAGAAAAAGAAGAAATAGTGACATAATAAAATTATTTACTTCAATTATTATATTTCTTTTAATAATTGAATTGATAATTTATTAATTATTACTCAATTATTATACATATATGTGCTTAAATATATTTCGGTCGAAATGACCGGTACGCGCCCGCTAACGCTGGTCCCGTTAACGACTCCACTCCCGGATTAATGTCTTTAACGAATTCCATAAGCCATTATTTTTTCTTCCTCTTTAAAAATTTCCTTGCTTAAATTCTCGCCTCTTGATATTTTTCAGATTTTTTTCCTACTCCTTATCTTCGAAAATTCTGTTAAGGCTTCTTTTTACTACTTCATCACATTCCTTACTCATTCTACTGGACAAGATTTCTTTTCCTTTCTTAATATCCCTTTATTTTCTTCCTTTTCTTTTATCTTTAAACCTGAAACTTTTCTAACCTCTTCCTGCATTAACTCGCAAGTTTTTATATATTTTTCATCCTCACTATCAACTATAAAATTTTCTTCATCCAATTCACTTTCCTTTTCTTTTAATCCTTCTACATATTTTTTTCAATCTGTCCTCCAACTACTTTGTCTATTACTCACTTTCCTATACCCTTTCTTCATGTAGTTTAATTTAAAAATAACTGGATAATGATCATTGTCTTGTGTATCTTCCATTTATTTATATTCTATAATATCTCCTATATCCTCACTTGCAAATAGTAAATCTGAATAAGATATGTCCTTCTCCTATTACCTTCTATCCACATTTCTGTATCCTCATTCACTACATACATTCCTTTTATTTAGTTACTGTTAAGTCCTTTTATTTAGTTAGGTTTCTGTATCCTCATTCATTACATACATTTCTTTTATTTATTAATTTATTCAAAATTTCATTCATATCAGTGTCCCCACAATTTCATAATCTATTATGTGCATTAAAGTCTCCTCCTATAAGCCATTGATTGCTTTTTTACTAATTTTTCCTATACTTTTTTTTATACCCTTCTATATAATCTCATAATTTCTATATTCTTTTTTCCTATAATATTTTTATTCTCTTACACTCAATATTCTTTGCACTCAATATCCTTTCCTATTATTTAATTGCTCTTCTTTAATTATTTCCCATTTAATGCCTCTCTTTATTACTATTAAAACTCCTTCCCTTCCTCTTCACGAATTTCTATTCTTTCTTATTATCCAGTAGCTTGAGATTCTTTTATTTTCTTTTTCCAACAACTTTCTTTCCATCATTATTTCTACATCGATCTCTTTCTCAAACAGATGTTTACTCAACTCACTTTATTTATTTATTTTTTTATATATTACTACAGAATTTATTTTTTATATCCTCACAGTTACACACACACACACACACATACAGTTATTTTTAAATTAAACTACATGAAGAAAATATATAGGAAAATGAGTAATAGGCAAAGTAGTTTGAGGACAGATTGAAAAAAATATGTAGAAGGATTAAGAGAAAAGGAAAGTGAATTGGATGGAGAAAATTTTATAGTTGGTAGTGAGAATGAAAAATATATAAAAACTTGCGAGTTAATGCAGGAAGAGATTAGAAAAATTTCAGGTTTAAAGATAAAAGAGAAGGAGGAAAATAAAGGGATGTTAAGAAAGGAAAAGAAAATGATAAAAGAAATCTTGTCTAGTAGAATGAATAAGAAATGTGATAAAGTAATAAAAAAGGCTTTAAAAGAATTTTAGAAGATAAAGAGTAGGCAAAAATATGAAAAATATCAAGAAGCGAGAATTTAAGCAAGAAAATTTTTGAAGAGGAAGAAAAATAATGTAAATAATGTTGTTATGTGTTATGGAATTCGTTAGAACATTAATAAGAATATGGAGTTAAAATACACACACACATAATAATATCATCATAATAATATTAAAAGCAATTTATGTTTATATTCTATTCCTTCTAACATCCAATTTTCTATTCTGTTCATTCCCTTTCTCTTCCTTTTCTTTTTCCCTTACAATATCCTCCTCATACCAATCTCTCTCCCCCTCCCCTTCTCTCTCTCTTAGTCTTTTTTCTATCTCTTCCCTTCTCCTCTCCAACTTCTTTTGGACATTTCTCTTTTATTTCTTACTCTATCTCTTATCTTATCCTCCTCAATTATCCCCTTTTCCTTTCTCCATCTACTGTTATCTCTTTCTATTATTTCTTTTCTTAACTGTATATATTAATATCCTTTCTTCTGCAACTATTTTGTTTGTATCTACATATCTTTGATAGACTATACATCTCCTATCACTGGACTTATGTTCACTTTGTATGTTACAATTAACACATTTTTCCTTTTTATCACACTCCGTGAAATTCATTTCTGCATATAATACATATCCTTTTTGTCCCCATGAATGAGGATACAGAAACCTAACTAAATAAAAGGACTTAACAGTAACTAAATAAAAGGAATGTATGTAGTGAATGAGGATACAGAAATGTGGATAGAAGGTAATAGGAGAAGGACATATCTAATTCAGATTTACTTTCCTTGTAATGACTGTAGCTATAACATTAAAAGCCTTGCATGACAGGTTTCACAAAAACAGCCTAATAGATAATCATTCTAATCCTTCATAAATACTCAAGTTTTCAGGTAACACATTACTTTCAGGGTTAATGTTTTGTTATATCCCAATCATATTTCTTCTTTCTTTCATTATAAGCTCTTTTTCTTAGTCTCTCCACTACTGTAATCAAATTCTCTTCATCTATTGTTTTAGTCAATTCAGATATCGAGCTGTTCCAATTTGTGACAAAACATCTTTACCTCTAATATTCCTATTCATTAATTATAAATCTAATACTATAAAACTATTTTCCAAAATTTCCACTGTTTTTAAATTATCTCTCACACATTACCTAGCTGATTATTTTAATTGTATTAATTTTCTTAATACCTATCACCTTTTATTTCAATCTTCCAGTGACTATAAACTTTTTTTTCCATTATTATCATTAAATACTTTTCCATCTTCTAAAACTCTTTTCTTCTCTTCATTTGTTAATTAAAATAATTTCTATTTCATAATTTCTAAAAGTATTTCTAACTCTTACTAATCTCTCAAAAACTCTGTTTTGTTTCCTCCCAAAAAAAACCTTTCTTTTTCATTAATCATTTCCACAGAATCCTTTGTAATATCTTTTCTTATTAGTTCTTTTCCAATTAATATCTTCTTCTTCATTAGATCTCTTATATTTACATCTCCTTCCTCTATTATTGTCTCTTCTTAGAATTATTATCATCTCTTCTTTCTGGTACTCCCTCTCTCTTCCTTGTTTATTGACCATTCCTTGTTGTTCCTTTCTTTTAAATTTTTCAAATTTCGTTCTGTTAATTCAAAATTTTTTAATCTCTTTTCCTATCTTCTTCCTTTTTGTCATATTAATCGCTTATTCATCATCTCCTTTTCCTTGTAAAAAGTCTCTCCAATATAAATCCTTCAAACTCTTCTTCTGAAATATTACTCTTTTTCTTGTTAACTGTTTCATGTTATTCTTTGTTCTTGTGACCTCTCCGTCCTATTTCCTTCTTCAGAGTCAGACAAGCCTGACTCTGACCTAATTTCATTATTTATTTCTTACTCTTTCTATGTCTGAATTTTCTATCATATCAGCAAAGCCTTATTCTTCTAACCTCCTCAGAAGTTAATCAAACTCCGTTAATCAAAATCCAAGTACTTTGTATTTCCTAAACTCTCTATCTCTGATTGACTAGTCTCACTCACTGCTCAATGAGACACATTTGCAAAATATTCAGTCCCAAACAAGACTCTTCTAAAATTTTAACAATATATAAATCAAGATTATCCTAGAAAATAAAAAGGTTATCACAGAAGATAAAAATAAAACAATTCTAAACAATTATAACATGTTTTTTGTTACTATTGTGTTCAGATA